CACGACTAGCGGCTGCTCACTCGGGTGCCGAGTTTCCCGCTTGCATACAAACCGTGTGTTTAACTCTACCCCGTGAACGGCATAATCAGCATTTTAGACGTCTCCTCGCAGGAGGGGAGGGAAAACGCTGACCCTGCAAAGCTAAACATGTCGTGGGTGTCTGGACACTGACGACACCCACGGTAGCGCAACGCAAGTTGGGCCTGGCAACGTCGCGCTCGCTCGCCCTCTCTCCGTCTCTGGCTCTCCGCGGGAGTTTTGGTTTATTACCAAGCTATCCGAGGCAGGCTTTCTGCGTATTGTTACACCGTGACAGTTTAACGGGCGTCCTTAAGCTCCGTAACTGCATTGGAATTTTTTCCTGCAAAAGCTGCGTTTTTTTATTTTAAAGCCTCTCCCATACGTCCACACCGTATCGCTGGTACCCGTCGATCGTTGGTGGTATACACCGGCGGCTGTTGGCGTGCAGACAGAGAAGCTTCAGCCAAGAGACTTATGGTCTGGAACGCGCACCAAAATGCGCAGCCGTTGAATACAATACGCGTTTAATCGTCCCCCTAAGCAGAATAAATTATCAGTCGTAGTTTTCTTGCTGTTAGGAAAATGAATAACGCCGATATGCCTTTTTTTTCCTGTCTTAAAGGATTTAAGTTGGCATTGGTCCATATTTCAGCGGAGTAAATTATTTATCATGCGATGCGTGATGGATTAATGCTGTAATTGCTATAAATATAAAACGTTGCACGGTATTGAAATGTACGTTGAGGTTACGTTTATTAGTCTGTGGTGGCACGCACATTTTTGTAGTTCTATACAAACATTACTGGGAACAACAGCTCATCATTTCCCCAGAGTTTATAGTTTGCCAAGGTTTACACAACAGCATCTCGGTATAACATTCTTTGTTTAACTAAAGCGTTTTTTTTGTTAGTTATTCATGTTAAATAAAAACATAATTAGCTCCACTTGCATCATTAGAGCTCGTGCTGCCCATTTGAATGTGCGTTGTTGGTAATGCGTTGGCCATTGACTGTCCTCGGTTTACACAGACTCAAAGTTAATTAAGCTAACACAACTGGAAAAGGAATCCCACTGCATGTAAGTAAATTGCATTACGGGGCACCTGCGACCCGTGACCCAGGTCAGCTTTCCAATCAGTTACCAGTTTGTTTTACCACTGAGCTGGGGAGTCAGGGTGGAGGGGGGGGCAAAGTGGTGGGGTGGGGTTTGGGGGGGGGGGCGCAATGGGCAGGGAGGGTAGGTGGGGGGTAGGTGGAGAGGTAGGTGGGGGAGGTAGGTGGAGCGAAGGTGGGGGGTAGGTTGGGGATAGATGGGGGGTAGGTGGGGGGTAGGTGGGGGGGAGCTGGTGGGGAGGTGGAGGTAGGTGGGGAAGGAGAAGCACTTTGCTACATTTCAACACCTCCCGCACGTGCGCTGCTGCCTGCCGGTGTAATGTTTCAAACAACACACAGAAACATGTACAAACATCGCATGGCCTTTGTGCCTTTTGAAACAACCACAGTCAGGCTCTGAAGAACTCCACTGTGGTCCTCTTAGGTTATCATAAAAAAAAACTAATTTTTAGCAAATGTGACCGTCAGCAGCAGTGATACAGCGATGGACAACCGTAGACTAGTTTTGTCCTTACTAGGACTCATCAGAACAGTGCAGTCATCAATGCTCACTGTGGTGTAATGGTTAGCGCGCCGGATTTGCAATCCAGAAGTCGCTGGTTCACTCCGATCTCCGCCGCGCTGGGCCTGAAACAGTGGGACGGTTTACTCTCCGTCCACCCGGCACGCTACGAAAGGACGCGACTGCGGTCCGTCAATAACCGGCAGGTCGTGCGTGAAAGGAGTAAAGTGTGCCTACTAAGCTCCCCAGCCTTTTCCAAGACCACGCTTGCACGTTGGTCAATTGCCCTCCAGAGGGATTTTCTTGAGCTCGCTTTCGTGGAGGCCCTTTCGACCAGCGGTGCCACGAGCGAGAGATCGCAGAGCGCGCACCTCCTACCCTTTCGCACGTGGGCACCCTGGCCATGTGGAGGCTCTGCTCTGTGCAGGGCTGCTGATGGCCTTAGAGCCAGGCAGTCCCCGTTCATTGTAAGTTATCGATTGCTCGACCCAATTGTCGTTATTATTATTATTTTTGGTTCGATCGCTCGACTAATCGGATTACACGTAGAGTGACGGGGGACTAAGGGGTCCCCGTGGCCTGTTCCCGTTCGTGTGCGCCGGCGCAGTGCCGCCACCGGCGTCGTCGGCCGCGTCACGACGGACGTGGCCGGGAGGGGGGTTTCCTGCCTTCGGGAGGCAGGACGTGGTGGGGGGAGGGGAGGGGGCAAACGCCTTTCTTCGCAAGAGGCTCGAGGAATCGACCGCGAAAAATAAATGGTCGATTGCACTTTTTAGTCATTAATCGACGAGGAAAAGCAGCAACTGGGTTCTCAAGGATACCGAGTTGATGGTCTCAATCTGGTCAATTACCCCACAACAAAACCATCAGCTTAAAAAAATAAAAAAGGTCGCTTATTTCTGCTAAAATCTAGCCGTGAATATTAAGTGACAATCTCATAGTGGTGTGTGTGTGTGGGGGAAAATGCGCCCCCTGTTGTGTAAAGATTTGTAAAAAGGTCACTTGAAGGGTTTTTCAGAAGAGGTTCTTGGAAAATATTTTAACGCAGCCGTTCTCAGATGCGTGCGAGTCTGCGCTCCTCTGCAAGACTTCCGGAAGGGTTCTTTGGCCTCGATCGTGCGCCACGAATAAAGTCGTGGAAAAAATATGCATTTTTCTAAATTCGTGATTTGGTATAACATCTTAAATCCTTTAGGCCAGAGGTAAGGGCATTCTATAAAAAAAAACATAAAGCGGGGGGGGGGGGGAAATACTCATAGACACGCCGTCTGCCTCTGCTGCAGACAGATAGGTCACTTGGAATGTTTTATTCTGTAGCCAAATTAAGAGTTCTGTTTCCTTAACCTTCCAAATCACCTTTGGCAATGAATGCATGACAAAAAAAAACGCAATCCAAAAAGTCTATTCAAAACAAACTGGATGTTACTAAGTGTCTGTGGTCCTCTGCTCCTGGCCCAACTTGTACAGCACGCACATCCAGCATACAGAGAGGCAGTATCTGAAAGTAATCCTCCGACACTTGATAAATTCTCGCCACTTGGTCGACCCAAGTGGAATTAGCTGGAAGGGAATAAAATTAAAAGAATCCCCACAGAGTCATGTAAGTGAGATTGTCTCAGGCTACGCATGAGCTGAGAAACCTCCAAACTCGAAATATATATTTTTAATCCTCATGACCCTTTTGGTGCCGCAGCTGCTCTTTGCTCGGTTGATACTGAATGCCCTGTGTTTTTTGGGGGTGGGGAACGAGAGGTTGGCGGGAGTAGGGCAGGTCGGTGGTGGGAGGGGTGGGGTTCGCGATTTCCTTTGCCAAAAATTCCTGGCAAGAGAGTATTTTGGTACGTTCAATTTTGACCGAGTTGAGCGGATTTGGAAGGTTCGAATTAAAGAGTTAAAGCTGTGGAGAGACAGACAGACGCCCTGGTCTGAGCCATAATTCTTTTGTAAATCGAGTACGTGCGTACGAAGAATCGCGCGGAGCGCAGCGCGTTGCGATCGGGTTACACATCTGGTTTTCGCTCCGTGAAATTTCCAGGGCTAGCACTCGGGTTCCGTCAGGCCATGGGTTGAAGCGCTTATAATGAATCGTGAAATGTGGGGGCCGAGAGTAAATATCATTGTAGCTAATTGTGGCCTTTGCAGTAATTGCAGTGGTAATAATTTGGTCGTTTCTCCCAAATAACTTAACACTGTAATTACGTCTCGTGAATTGAATGTATGGAATTCGGGGTTTTACTTTTTTTCTCTCCCAAAAAAACTTTTAATTTGAAATGCAATTTGGAAGGTGTCACTGCGAGTTGTATTGAAATAATTAACTTATAAATGTCACGGAATCCGAGCCGGCAGAAAATGAGGGGGCATTGTCCTCAGGTTGACTTTTGAGGGTTCCGCACAATCGCCCCCACAACCGATTGAGATTTTTCTCCCGCGCAGTTAACCGGCCCACGCGCGTGCGCGCCTGAATATTAAAAGCTGAGGCGCGTACGCCCGAGTTTGTCGCGAATCGGTATCGGCGCTCTGTTAATCGCCGCGCTTTCCTGGAAATGTGCGAAGAGAGGCCGCCGGATCGGGGCCACGCGGCGCCAGACGATGCCGCGAGCACGCCTAAACAAGCACGGGCCCCATTTTCCAGCGGCTCAAGGTTCATTAACCGTCTCCGAGTTGAATGGAGGTCGAGGCGGGGAGTGCGAGCGGGCGGGGGGAGGGGGAGGCTGAGCGCGAGGGAAGCCCAACCGTTGGCCCCCCTTTACACATGCAGATTCGCGTCGGGATCGCGAGCGTGCGAGCGTGGCTTAAAGTGCACGCGCTTCGAGGCTCTCTCCCGTTTTTGGACGCCAGATTAATAGCACTCTACGTCTCCTTGGAAACGCACGAAAAAATTGGGCTTTAAGAGCCCACGCTTTCAGCTTGATTTTTGAGTTCCACTTCAAGCCTTTTTGGTGTCATCCATTGTGCCAATCTTACTGTTTTTATGTCAATCCACCCCTGAACCTCCCCCCCACCCCACCCCAATGGGAAAAAAATACCGCAGAGTCGTTTGTGGTTGTTGTTCCTGTTGCTGCTGGCTTTGTGTGACGTTTGTGCCGGTTGTCAATGTTTACACAATGCCCTCTTGATGCATTATTTTTCTTTACATTTGTTTTGGATTTTGCATTGATTATGTATACAGATAGGTTACTTATCTATCAGCATGGCACAGCAGCTGTAGGCTTCACCGATTTCATGATAGATTTGCGCAGTGCAGAGTTGAAATCGTTTAAAATTGAATATTGCGGTTTGCGTTGTGAAAATTCCTAATTGACCATCAGAAAGATACCTGTTGCTACATCTTGTTAACTCGTGTTTTTGTTACTCTTTGGTTCTAGGATTACATTCTCTTCTGAAGATTCGGGTAAGACTCTCGTTTGGAAACATACACATTTGCCTTCGAACATGATGTTTCATAATCCGTTTCGTAAAACTGTGTTTTTTGTACTCAATGTTATTTCTTTCCATCCTTCGCACACCTCTCCCCCCGCCACCACGGTGCAGGTATCATGTCCGCCGCGAGGATAGGCGACTATGAAAAGGTACGCCGTCACCTTTTTGTTCGACTGACACGACACACGTAGCTTGTACGCACGTAGCACTGGAGGCAAGGGTTGGTGGATCGCACAGATGTTGTGAGACTCCCTTCCTCTGCCTAGGTCCCATACCCTGGCTCGCCAGGAGAACGCAATATTGAAAATGTGAACTCTTATCCATTCCATCTGTGTGGGAGAGAGCGTTGCCGCCACTTGCATACTCTTTGGTTTTTTCAGTAAAGTCACGTAGGTAAAATCAATTTTGCTGTGACGGTTTCCACCTGAAGACAGAAGCTTGTGTTGCCTCCGAAACGTCGTGATTTTATTTAGTTGTTTTCATTTATTTTATTTTACCTACGTGACTTTACCGAAAAAACCAAAGAGTATGAATCATCGCAGTCACTTTAGCTTCAAATTTAGAACATCTTCATACGTAGAGGACTGCAGAGCTTGGGCAATTGTTGGCGTCGGTTCAACCCATGGGTTGCCTTTACCGCCTGTCTGTGGTTCCTCCCCGTGCCTCGTGAGTCATTCTGTCATCGAGATTAAGCTCCTGCGAGCTCGCGAGTCGTCGCCCCGCCGTGTCCCTGGTCCATCGGTGCCAGCGTCTCCCTCCTGTCTGCACGACAGTTCCTCAACGCCTACAAGAGTGGCGAGGCCATGCTGACGACGGACTCGGCCGGCTGGACGGTGTTGCATCACGCGGCGAGCCTCGGGCACAAGGATCTGGTCCGGTTCATCCTGAGCGGTGGTAAAAGTTAAATGAATAAAAAGCAGCGGCAGCGACAGACTCCGCGAGCACACATTTCCGGACCCTGTCTCTTCAGAGTCGTAGTCTTCCTTCTGCAGTTGTTGGAATGTTTTTATTCCACCTCGGTTTTTTAAAATTCTATTCTATTCTTCATTCTCTGGAGCGAGGTAGGAGAATAGATTATGCCTAACAGAGAAAGTGACAGGGCCTTTCGTTGAAGTCTGAATAATTCACAAGCGGCGCCTTCGTCTGCCCTGAACATTTTCCATGGCAAAGGCTGTTTTATCTCTCCCCTTGTGGTCTCGTGTGATCCGGAGCATCTTTATCGTCCTCTCTCATTACCTTTCCCTCTTCCTGTATCGCGTTTCCTCGTCGCTTGCCTTCGCAGCTGTAGATCTCGTTTGGGCCCTATGTTCGTTTCCGTTTCTCTGTGCCTCCGTGACATTTTCTGTTCCAATAATTTCTGCACATTTTCTTTCCACCACCCCCCCCCCCCTACAAAAGAGCGAAGGGGCCCCTGGGCAGTTTTGTTCCTCTCCAATCACCCCCCCCCCCCCTCACCAACCCCCTTTGGTGGCCTAAATAAAAGCCAGATCAGGAGCCGCTAGATCAGGCTCTCGTGGGATACACGATCACAATGCCGCAGACGTGAATGGGTTGGGGGGGGTTGTTGGGGGGGGGGTTGTTGGGGGGGGCGGTGAGGGAGGGGTTGGCACGGGAGGCACGTCTGCGGGAGGGGCCCTAACTGGCAGGTAGAATCGGAGAGATTAAAGGCAGCAGGTCAAAGAAAGAATGTCGCAAGCGATCCGTCAGCGTCCCGGCAAAACTGTCCGGGCCGTTTCGCTGCCTCGCGCTTCCTCCAGCGAGGTTCTTGTTAATTTAACTTGGGGGAGGGGGGGGGGGTCCGTCCCCGTCGTCGCTCAAAATTGTTTTGGCAGACGAAGGTAATCCTGGAAATAAAGCGGTGTTTGTTTTTGTTCAGTTCTCTCTACTCGGCGCTTCATTCCACAGTGGCTTAGCCGAGGTACCCCGCCGCCACCGCCTCGTCTTAATCTCTCTCTACTTGTTCTGTTAAAGTCCCGCCACAATTTTGGAAAATTATTCGCAGCTCGTATGAGGATGAGGATTTGCTTTTTAATAAATGTTTAATCACGGCTCGGTATTGTGTTACCTCAAAAAACGCGTCTCTATTCTATCCCGTTAGTTTGAAATATTATTTTTAAATGGTATTATTTCAAGTATATTATTTTAATTATACCGCAATTAATATTATGGTTACTTATCAAAAAGTCCCTGTTTAAACAAACCTCTGGAAATCCTGTGAGAAGTGGAAAACATTGTTGCGAGTTAGGGTAGAACGAATGCCATGCATATGAATGTCTATTACCTCATTAACGCATTAAGATGGTCACATGACTTACTACCTCATTAAGATGTCACATGACCAGGTATGCCTATTTAATGGCAAACCCTATCGGGGGCCCAGTACAATGAATACCTCCGGGAATATATGGCTGCCTGAACCTATTCTTTGTGCTGCACAAGTATATTTGTGCCTCACTGTCATTGTTGAAAAAAAAACACGTTGGCCTTACAATAATTGATGTGTGCTTCTGTGTCTCTACAAGGGGAACAGTAGGCGCTGTTTGCTACGAAGTGATGGTAACGTCACCATGACACTTGTGCCAAGCTAGAGGCACTTAGAGGCCACGTAAAGTTTGCAAGGCTCGCTGGCAGGAGGTCACAGGACAGACCGAGGTGTTATGGGTTGACTGACTGAGATGAACGGCTAAAACGTGCTACATTTTAGCCGTTTCCTGCACCTCCGGTTAACACGGTTGGCTACGTACGGTGCGAAAGAAGTTCAACATATGTACATACGTACATAGCCATCTGGCGACGAGCGAGCATCGATCCATGATCGGAACACAACAAACCTTTTTATCTGTTTCTAGGCCCGTCAGAGCTGTTGGACATGGCTGACACGGAAACGTAAGTCAATCGACCGCATTGCGCAGAACAAGACACGAATGGGTGCAATTATCATACCACCCCCCGGTGTAATATTTAAATTCACGGCCTTTAAGCTGAAACACGGTTTCCCCATCCTTGTCCATCAAAATCATCAGCGCAGTAATTGAACGGCGGTTATTGTATTTTGTTAGATAACGGTAATTGGTCTTCCGTTCATTACCGTCAGCAGATTGATGTCGCGACGACGACGACGGGCTTTGTGGTCTGTCGCCCCGTTCCTTTTGAAGCCACAGCGTGAACGTGGCTTCGCTGTCGAGGCCAGGGATGAGAAACCTTTCCCCTGCGGGGAGGGCTGCAGTAGACTTGCAAGTCGTGTCCATACGAGAGGGCCCTTGCGGCGACAGAAGCGACTGTGAACGTGCTAAAATTAGAAATGGCTTGTGTGTGCCAGATCGAAAATATTGCCCTCTAGTACCGGATTAGTGTGGCTGAGATGCTTTAAGTGATAAATAAATAGAGTTTTCTGAGTGGTAGCCCTCATGTGACCCCGGGGGCAGTGTGTGATGCAGTCGCGGGCCACAATCACTCCCGTGAGCCGTATATTCACCAACTCCTGGACTAGGCCTTGTCCAGGCCATGTGCTAAGTATCATGCATGTGTGGGTGTGTGTACACCTATCCATCCCACCACTGTCTTACCACTTTTTACAAACACTCTGTATCCATGTTTCTCTCTCTCTCTGTACAGAATCATAACCTTTGATTATCCTGGAGAAATCCTATGAGCTATGAAGCTCTTTCTCACATATGTCCAGTAGGGGCACCAGGTCAACAAATTTCAACAACACTCATTCCCTGCCCCTCACTCCCCCACCGCACCCCCCTTTTCCCCATTCTCCCCTTCTCCCGGCAGTGGTGAAACGGCTCTGCACAAGGCGGCTGCCCTCCACCACCGGACAATCTGCTACTACCTGGTGGAAAAGGGTGCCTCGCTCATGAAGACAGACTTGCAGGTGCGGCTCTTACCATCAGCGGTCATTTACTGAGCATGGAACGATTCGGTTACCCCCCCACCTCCCCCCCTGCTCTCGCCGCTTGGTGAATGGTCGTGGTTCCGCGTTGCGAGTCAGCGTTTGTAGAATCGATTGTTTCTCGTTGCGGTGAATGCAGTGCGCCAAGTGGCTGGAGCGATCACGTGAACCAATTGCGTGTACAATTCAGATGTATGTGTACAGTCCTTTATCAGTGCACCTCCGATTAGCGCAGTTGGCGACGTGTGGTGCGAAAGAAGTTCAACATACATACGTATGTACAATGCACTGTTGGATAAAGGCCTCCTTAATGTAGACCGTTTAACCATACTTCACCATGCTGGTCAGTGCAGCATGGTGAAGTCGGGCAGTTGGACCAGGACTGATTCAGATATCGCTCGTGACTGATGTTAGCCATGGCCAATGAATTTAACCCGGATCGCCAGGTTTATCGCACAGTTGCACTAACCAACCCCTTTTGAAGCCTTATTTGAAACGAAATGTCACTGATGCCACTTATAGTTTATAACGTGCATACGATTAAAAACAGAAAAGTGTAAATATTTCCTGAGGAGGACCAGCTGGCCCGAAAGAGATGGGGTTTTTTTTACGTACACATCCATTTTATTTCTTTGTTATGAACTTGTGCACGATCTGCTGAATCGGCAAAAAACCTTCAGGTCCGGCACGTGAGGCAGAGTGTTTTTTTTTCCCCGCCGAGCCGAAGCGGCGGCCGCGGACGCGAGGCGACGACGCGCATTGCTCCCGACGGGTTTAAAAGCATCACCAACTCACGAGCCAGACCAGGCAACGGCTCCGCTGTGAATTGACGCGGACGACCCCGGCCCGGGCGTCGTCCGCCACCAGCGGGGTGACGTCACAACCCGACCTAAGTGCGCCCGCTACCTCCGTCCAGCGGCAAAAAAAAGGACACCGGCGCTCACCTCTTGCGGGCCCGCGCCGAATCCGGCACTCGTTTTCTTTTTTTGCCGTCGACCAAAAATGTCTCCCCGGGGGAGTCCGATCGGGCCGTATATCTCTGAAGCTGAGCGCCGTCGAGTGCCGTCGAGCCTGGTCAGTACTTGCGTGACATGGGAGACCGCTTGAATGTGCATGCTGTTGTAGAGGCCCAGGCTAAGAAGCGGACGGGAAATGGCAGTGCAGCGACACGATTTCCTGAATCTGTCTTTGCACAGCTTTGAGTGTTAGCTCCTCGTGTGCGTTGGGTTTTGTTTCTGCAGGCCCTAAAATGTTCTCCCACATGAACCCAAGCGCTTGTTAAAGGAAAGAGCCAGACAGCCAGACGCAGGACCCTCTTGAAAAAAATTCCTTGTGATTCATTGAGACGATCTTACTGCAAAGAATGGGCATTGTGAATGCTATTTTAATTGATGGTGGAGTATTTTAAACCTCTGATAGGATAATTACATCGCTGTAAGAAATACCTACACCTGTGCGCCCAGCTGCTATTCGAATTGATTACTGCAATTTATACCATTTATAAAATTACAGTACTCAAAATGCCGAATTAAATCATTACGCCCAAAAGCCCAAGAGGATCTAAGTAACCTATTGCTCGCATTAAAGTCGTGGTCTTGAAGCTAATAGACTGTGAAATTAAAAAACATGACACAGGGAATACGAACCGAACAAATTGAAAACAAATGTGACCTGCCTGGAGAAAAGGCTGAAACAACTTCCTGTCTGAAAATTCTAGCAAATCCGGCGTGACAACAATGCAATGGGGCTTTATGTCATTCTGCAGCACCGCAGTTGTGCGTTTTCCACACGTGTATGTATTGCATATTACGTGTTCGCTGAACGCTCTGTAAAGGCGATTCACCATTCCTGTATGGGACAATGTTGAACGAACCATTGTGAGGTTTTTTTTTGTTTGGCAAGACAAACGAAAGTGCAACAGAGAAGTTGAGATATAACATTTAACCGTAAGTTCCCACGAATGAATGTACCCTGGGGCGACGATCGAATGGACAGGTCTTGATCTCGTTGAATGCGCACGAGGGTGGAAAATGACATCGACAGATGTGGCTCTACATGGGGTAGAGGTGGGGGGGGGGGAGGCATTGGACACAGTTCAGCGATCACACATCGTCACTCTCCCCGTCGTCTGAAAGTTCAAGCAATCTCTCAAAAAGTCAAAGTGATTTGCTGCTCAAATGAGCACCGAGGCAAGTCCTCGTCTCCCGTTTGCAGCCCTGAGCCACTCGTGGAGATTCCACATTTCTAGGACGGGTGGGAGAGTCTTTCCGTAGGACAGCCGCTGTGGAATTCCCCACACAATCGTACTCATTATATCGACCCCCAAAGGGATGATAGGATGAGGCAACCCCCCCGCCTCCCTCCGCTCAACCAGAATTTGAACTCTCAACCTTCCGATAGCGGGCCGCTTGCTCTACCGCTGAGCCATCCGGCCGGATTGAAGAAATCCTGACTGGAACTTTGGTGGGTGTTTTATGTCGGTAATGTTAAACGAATTACGTCGTTAGACATCCATCTGCAGCTGATGTTGAGCTGTCGAAAATGGCTTGAGACGTTTCATATTTCCCCCAGTGAAATATGTATTTGCCTAACCTTGACACAATGATGTAATAGAATCAATATGTACCAATGGTTTGTTGAATAACCATAAGTAATTACGTTAAATATGTAGTTGTGAAAGTTTTTTTTTTTACATGGCCAGTTGACCCGCGGGGAAATCGGAGCACCGAGCTGGCACTGCCGAGAACCTGAGTTCGAATCCAGGCCTCATCCACCCTTGATAATACCGGGTTCTTAAGTGTTGCGAGCTGATGGTCGCAGTGTTGTCACCAATGACTGCACACACACACACAACATCATGTCAATCTTTTTTTAAAATATATTTTAACATTCCTATGGCCGAATTTCACCCCCATGTGAATAAAAGGTATTTATTGGCTGACATGTGATGGTCAATCTTTGCAGGGCATATTTAGATAACGCCTGCCCCTAGTCTGTATCGAGTTATTTTGACAAGAGCTCAGAAGCAGTTCTGAGACATCATCTACTGGAGTCGTTCTCTGACACACGGTGATGCACTGCAGAGTTCCAAATTTTTATATTTTTACGTCTCGTGGAATGATGCCCATAGCGCAATAAAAAATAGAATTGTTAGAAGAGCACATTATTTTTAAACTATAAAACGATATATTTGTTGTTCTTTTGCATAAACAAGGGATAAAACTTTGGAGACTGGTGACAGTGTGCAGAAGCAGATGCTGAATGTCCCTGGATAAATAAGGGCATTAGTATGATTATGATCGTCTGTATCTTTTCGTCAACACTGTAATAACGCAGAAGCAGTGGGCCCTCTTTTAGCAATGTAAAAACTGCGCCCTCCTCCCCCACCGCCGTGTCGTTACGATGGTTTGTAATTCTCCGTGGCGTTTTGTTTCTGCTTCGATACCGCCTGCTAGGGTAACACGCCGCAGCACAAGGCTCAAGAGGCCGGAGACCCGGAGCTGGCCGCCTACCTGGAGAACAGACAACACTACCAGATGATCGTGCGTGAGGACCAGGAGACGGCCGTATAGCCGGCGGCCGGTGCCGCTCTCGCGAGGACGGACGTTCTCCATGATTTTTTTTCCACGATTGGGCGGGAAAGGAGGCTGACGTTTTATTCAGAAAACGAGTGTATGTTACAGAGCGACGACGCGAGCGTTGGGTATAATGAGACGCATGTTAAAGGGGAGCTGATTTAAAAAAAAACAAATTTAAAGTTTACATGTTGCACTCTGCGGTAGAATGGAAAATTCACTCTTCGACTCTCCCCCCCTGGAATCATATTTTAAAATGGTGATGCAAAGGCTCTGATGATGATAATAATAATGATGGATGATGTGACTAGTTTATTTTTTAAACGAAGATTTAAACAATTTCCTCTTTTTACAGCAGCTTTTATTGATGAAATGTTGTATTTTTTATTGCTATGGCGACGGAAGTGAAAACAAAAATGACAAGAGCAGCGTATAGAATGTCAGTTCTCTTAAATCTCTCAGCATTTGTTGACAAAGTTTTGTTACAATATTCAGTGGCTTTTTTAAATTGCTTCGATATTTATGTTTTCCTGGTGTAAAGTTACATTCGAGTAGGCTAATTATGGTGTCATTATTTATAATAATAAAGAATGAAACGATTATTTTTTTTTTAGGTGATAATTTTTAGATCGATTTTACAGTCATTCTCTACCTTGTGAAGTTACAGGAAGTGCGTTCGCTATGGTTTCGCACATCGCCTTTCAGGTATAGTTGAAGGATGTATAATGTATTTCTCTTTGCCATAGCTACTGGTGTACGCTTTGGTGTAAGAACGTTTGGGACCAGATTTATCAAAGGTCTCCATTGTATAGTGTGTTGCACCCATGTACATTTTTAAAGAGTGGATTCACTTTTTAAATCTTAGCTTCTCGTCAATGCACATCTTCACTCGTTTTCTTTTAGATGTCTCTACGATTGATCCATGTCAATTTTTGGTTTGAAATCAAACGGTAAGTTATTGTTTTACATCAGAGAAGGAGAGAGAGGAAGGAAGAAAAAAAACCCCAACACACTTTGAGAGAACTCATTGTGCAAGGTGAACGTCTCGCTGCCCTGCAGTGGTAGCCAGGAGCAATGTAAGTCAAACATTGGGTTTCTGGTGGTAAACTCATCTGCCCGGAGGAATCCAGGAGGCGCGCGGCTGGATGCCCAGGGCAGAATAACACACGGGAGGGAGGTAGGGGGGGTTCCTTATTCATGACAAAAATAACATACTCATTGTGGAGCCCTCTTTTGTGTGAGGGCCAGGGAAAATGTCTCCACGTCCTCGCCCGCCCGCCGACCCTCTCCTCGATGGGGCCCCGGTGACAAAGGTGCCGTGGAAGACACTGAATTCTGTCAAGTCCTCAGGTGCTTTTTTTTTTTGCCGGCTCTTTAAACGCACGCCACACTGGGCCAAAGACCATTCATACACCTGGGACGCTTTTCTGGCAATCTTAGAAGCCAAATCGTCACCGGCAGTGCACTTACTAATTAACAACTATAGCAACTTGGTACTGCATGGCAGAGAGTGGCAATGTTTCTGAGTTTATTTGAGGAGTGTGTTTAGTGAATAGAAAAAAAAAATTCGCCTACAGAGCACACAACCTAGGATTATCATGTGACCTCTGTGTGAGATGTGATTGGAAGTTGCCCACTGGGGATCCGCAATCAGATTTATCCATAATTGGGCAACTTTTTTTGTTTTACAATGCGATGCAGCAAACCATTGCCAGTGATGATTTTGCTGTCAAATATTGCCCATAAATTGCCTTCGCGTATTATCATTGTTTAGGCTTTATTCTGACGCTCAATCTGTGCTGTGGTTAATTTCAATTAATTTCCAAAAGGGCACGGAAGGAGGGTCCTGGTGATCGTGTTGTGTCCAAATGTGTGACCTTGAGTACAGCGAGGTGTCGCTGCGATGGGGCTTAACATGTGGGAGCCCTTTGCTTTTACTCGGCTTTGGAAATCCAAGCAGATGGACGGAGCCCAATTTTCGTGGACTAGCGTCCATCACTACCGGCATTTTAAACATTGCAGTGACATGTTTATTCTCCTTTGTTGTCGTCATTGCCTTAAGTTGATTGGTGCATATTTAACTGCATATAACTATACACGCTGTCATTGGTTTTTTTGGGACTTTTCACGCATATTTTGGGGTTTGTGTCCTTGGGCGAGTGGTGAGTTAGGCGGTGCACGGGCGTCCACGGCCGAGTAGAATTCAAGTTTGTAAAAGTAATTCCAAAAGAAAAAAAAGAGAGCTACAGCTGGGAGGGAGGCATGCTCCACCCTGCACTCGTGCCAGTAGCACCGTCGTTACCACTCTCCGCAAGGCTTTGTCCCCGCGATGTCGCCGTCTCGAGATCGCCGAATTGAGTCGTCGAGCGAACGATGAGCGAGCGACGTCGCTCTTCGGCGAGCCCACGGCTTCCCTCCCCCCCCCCCCTCTCGAATCGACTCTCGGTTCCGTCGGATTCTCAATTGATGTTTTATTTTTATTTCAACGCGGATAAACCTAACGGCATCACGTAAACAAAAATGTTAATTTAGAGCGAGCAGTTTGCGTCGTAGGTGGGACGGGGATGGGGGGCGAGCGAGCGGGCGGGCGGGCGGGCGTGAGACAAGAGCGGTTTCTATGAGGTATTTCGTTGGATTGTGAAAAGCGACTGGCTTGCGGCGACCAGAGAGATCGACACCAAATCCAACGCCAGCTCCGTTGAGTTTGCTAACGTTGCTTCGTCCGCGGGTTAGCGTCGTGTGAACACGTCTGATTTCTCGTTTACATTTAGCCTTCGGTTGCACATCATTCCCGCTCCTTGTGTTCCGCATTAACACTCCCGGCTAAATGATTGTTGGACTGCATGCCCGATCATTGACGCAAACCACCTATGGTGGCCTTTCTCTCCACCACCCTCCCCCTAGCGCAATGACTTTTTTTCTTTTAAACATCCATGTTAAGTGTTTTCTTTTTATTTTATATGTGGTGCAATACGAAATGATTGCAGCTCTGTGGGCAGAGATTAAATGATATGGAGGAAAACAAAAAGTGGCTGTGTGTTTGCTGACTCGTTGGCAAGCCTGTCTGGCATCTGCCCCGTCTCACTCCCCTCTCCTCCGCACTCAAAGCTCCAGTTGTGCATTCGAGTTTTGATTCGAAATCGCCCGCGTGTTTCTCTCACTCGGGGGTTGCAGTGCCGACCGCAGCTGGCTGTCGGCAACGGGGCTCCGGGGGAACTGACGATCGCCGACGTTAGGAGAGAAACGACTGCGATGTCGCTACTTACCCCCGATTAGCACGGTTGGCTGCGTGCGGGTTTCGAAATAAGTTTGGCGTACGTACATGAAACATGCGTACCGAATGAGGAGAGTTAGTAGCGTGCACGATCTGTCCCTTCTCTGGGGTAGGAGGAAGAAATGCGTGCAACAACAAAAAAAAAGTGTTTGCAAAAGAACCATTGATATTTCTAGTTGTTTTTATTTCGAGTGTGAGGAGGAAAAATATATTGAGAAGCACTTTTTTTCTAAAAGGTCGAAATGACCAAATGTTGAGGGGTGTTTTTGTATCTACTTGTAAATGCCAGTGGAATGTATTTAATGATGTTATAGTTGACTATTGACAGAAATGTTAGATTTATTCTGGGGATACTCTTAATATTCCATTTTATAAATATGCGATTGACATTTCTGGTGTCAAATATCACCAAGGCATGGGCCAGGGCCTCGATGTTGATTTTCTTATATCCAGGAAATTTTAAGTGAATAGAAAATATTCTTAATCGTAATTCACAATACACATCCATAAACAAATAATTATCAAATGAAGGTTCGTTTTTTTTCAATTACAATTGCGCGTCTTTTCCACGGACTGTAGCTTACCACTCAATATTGTTAATTGTGTTGTGACAACCAGTGAATTTAATAACAAAGGCCCTAAGGCTGCACAGATGACAACCAAAACCGTCGGCTCAATGAATCACTTTGACTTTGTCGAGTCTTAATCGTGAAGCAGCAACCTAGTAAGCATGGAACGTTAGGCCAACGTTGCCTCAACGCTGCCTCGACGTTGCCTCAACATTGATCCAACAGCTCCCCAATGACACGCAAACGTTAGCCCGACGTTGCACGTTTACTGGGAAGAATGCTAATGGATGTAATCTGTTGGAACCGCTTCAAGCACTGGGGCTAAGCCTTTTCACATGACGTGTTAAGTGGCAGCATTTATTTTGACCTATTGGGAAAAGTGCCCCCACATTAATGGACTCTCCTCTGCCTATTTATAGGCAAAGCCGACTGCTGACCCCCTGCCATTCTGGATTTCGTGAGCGATCAACTCAGCGGTGGCTGCTCCTTGCTTCTGTGGAGCTCACAATGCCGACGATTGTGTGGCTGATGCGCTGTTTAGATGTTGACAAAAATGGCAATCGGCAAAGATAGGTCAGTTTTGTTATCGTCAGCCATTGCTGGATTAAGGCCTCCCCACACTGCCACCGTTCCCTCACGGTCCCTTGTTGCGAAAGTCTTATCGCGCTCCTGTACATCAGCTGATCTGTGCACTCCGTCTTCCGTGGTGGTCGTCCTCTTGGGTGATGTCTCTACTTTGGCTGCATTGTGTCGTCAGTCTCATGTATCGGCCATCATTCCTTCTCGTAATAATAGATCTTGCCCTTTCCCACTGACTTGCCCGAGCAGTCATTATGTCTCCAATGTGAGTTTCGTCCCTGATCCACGTGCTCCTCTTTCTAACTCTCAGGTCAACTCTACGCTTGCATCTCTGCCGTGAGGTTGCCACACTTAGCATTTTTGTTCCGTTCTTATTTGTCCATGTTAATAATAATAATCAGTCATCGTGAGTTATGTGCACTAATGGGGAAGTGTCATTCAGGCACATGGATGTGTTTCTCTTCATTTTTCAAATTTATTTTCCCCAAATTCAATCCATCCTGGCCTTGTCCATCTCTTTATTTCATCATTATGCTTCTGATCCGCCTCTCGCTAAATTTCTCTCGCTATTTATATTCTGATATTGTTTTCCAGTTGTGTCTCCCCCAGATATTATTTTTGTCATTTAGATTACCATAATAATTATTGCTGGACATTGGAATTTTTTAAAGCACTTTTCAGTACGTGGGCGCTGGGCAATCGTCGACCGAATTGAATAATCTTACAAAACATTTGGTGGTGGTTATGCCACCGCTGCCGCTGCTTCTTCGTTGGCACTGGTGCCCGAGAACAATTAACATCAACATTTCAACACATTCGTCAGCGACAAAGTGGCCTTAACAAGAATATATAATCTGCGACGTGATTAAAATTACATCAAGTGACTTGGTTAAGTCGCCGTGATGCGCTCTTTAGGGGTTATTTCTGTCCATTACTGATATTTGCAGCGTTGGTGAGTTGAAGACGTTAGTTTCATTAAAAATAAGAGCTGTGGAAAAAAATAAATTGGCCTGCACGACTGAGGAAAAGAAAATTAATATTGCTATGCTTTCAGAAATTAATTATGCTCGTCGCCAAATATATATTATTCACAGCCCTTCATCAATCCACTGCTGGATGAAGACCTACCCATGCCAAGTCAGCTATGGGGAGGTGCGGGGAGTGTTTGACTATACTTCACCACACTGGTCGTGGGTTGGTGAAGGGTGGGTTCGCCAGAAACCGGTTCAGATATCGCTCGGCATTGATTTCATTGATGATATCCATGGCCGGGAATCAAATTCGGATCACCAGCTTTGAAGCAGTGCCCTAATCACTTCACCACCACTCCACCCTCATTGGTTCTCACGATAATATGAATTACGTGGCCCCCTCTTAATAGACTGCGTATGTAAGTGCGCCATTCGTTCTGAAAGATGTCTCTGCCACTCATCTCACACCTCCGATTGGCATGGTTGGCTACGTACGGTGCGAAAAAAGTTCAACACACATACATCTCAAGGATCCGCCTCTTTCTTTTTGTATTCTTAAAAGCAATATTCTCACCGTTTTTTTCAATTTCCACCACGGATATTTGTAGCTTCCCCCATCAGTAACTCTTGATTCGCGCCGTCCCGTCGCATGCGTTCGGTGGTCACCCACCCAACCACTGGGCCGTGAAAGAAGTTGGACTCGTCGAGGTGTGGAAATCGTCAGTGCGGAGTGCCGTTAGCCCCTGGGGTAGCCCCCCCCCCCCCCCCCCCGCATGCCATGTTTAATGGGACGTCACTCAACTCGCAGAAAGTCCATAATAAAGGGGGGGGGGGTGGATCGCATAAATATAAATGTGCCGTTAACCCACCACCACCCGACACAGCCAATGTATATTTACACGCTGTAACCCAACCCCCTCCCCACACCCTTTATTATGGATAATATTGGTCGCGAAAGCCTCTACGTGTTAAAAAAAAAAAAACCTCACGAAAAGTCTGCAACGTACTTGCAGTGCAGATGAAGAGGGAGTTGCCTTGGCAACTGCGTTGCTGATGCCGTCCCTCTCAGCGCCGGCAGAGCCGTGGAAGAGGCTGTTAGCCATCGAGTCGATGTCTCTATCGGCGTTCAGGCCCGGACACGTGTAAATTAAACAAACTAATGGTTTAATTACTCTTGATAGATAAAGCAGGGTGGGGTGGGTCCTTACACCCAGTCCCCTCCCCCCTCCTCTTCCCACTTAGAAGGCAGTCCAGCACTAGGCTCCAGTCCACGTGGCAGTGTGCATCATCCATTGGGTCTGGATTGATTATGTCTCTGTGTGTCTTTCGGTGTTCATCCCCCTTGTACGAGTGGTGGGTTTCAGCCGGGTACGCCAGTGTCCTCCCATTTGATGGCACTGGATATGAATCCCAATAGATGTAACTACACACAAATAGCTGCTGTGTTGCTTCTGTATATATATATTTTAAAGTGCTCAGCCTTATCCAGACCGCCAGCTCAAACTAAGTGAATGTTTGGCCATCTTGTCGTTTAGACCACCAACTCAAAAGAGTTGAGAGACTCCGGCCATCGCAACAGGTGACAGTGGAACAAACAGACAATTGAACCTTATGGCGGTACCCCGGGGTACCATAGTAGCCCGGCTCTCGCGTAATGTCCGTGATGCAGTCGTTTTGAGTCTGTTGATGGTCGGCGATGCGGAAATCGACTCATCTCGACGAGGTGTACACGATGCACCGCTACGGTGCGTGCGAGCGTTCAGGGTTTCGGCGCAATCGTCCTCCCTGCGTTTCGACATCGCGGAGTGTGGCACCGATTTCGGATTGATTGGTTACCCCCAGTCGTGGAGTTAAGTTCACCCCTGGACAAAAATTGTGTCCCTGAAATAAAATATTTAATTGCCTCGGTAATTTTGTATTATTTGGTACCCCGGAGTACCGCCATGAGGTTCAACTGTAGACTCGTTTCGTTCTCATTGGGACTCATCAGTAGAGTAGAGTCATCGATGTTCCCTGCTACCGTATGCCTCTGGGAGCCCCATATATGAGCAATCAAACAATGCATCTTCTTAAACATTCCATTGCAGGACCCTCCTGAAAAAAAAGTCTTGAAACTCGGTGACGTTATCATGGATAAATGCCACGAGTGACATACAATTAGCAAAGCCTCACTGAACACTTCTTTGTTTAAATTAAATTGGTTACAGATCACAAGGTAGAACTCAAAAAACAGTCTCAGTTCTCTGTGCAGCGTTCTCTGGTAAATTATTGGGAATATTATCAAATATATTTTGGCTCAGTGAGTGCTTAAGTCCATTGAGTGTTCCATCAATCATCACGGCTTATCCACTTCGCATTCATAAACGAAACTTTTATTTTACCAGGTAAGGCCCACTTAGCTATTTGACTCCTTTTTCAGAAGTGACCTGCCCACAAATGATAGCTCAACGAAGTGGCTTATCATCACGTGGACATTTATAGCAGGCGAATACTCCAAACGCACGTTGATTCTAAACGTGGGGGGGAAAATCGGAGGAATCGGAGAAAAATCCACGGGAGAAGACATGCAAACTCCAAATATACAGCAGCAGGCGTATGTGCCATTCACACCTGAGGTCAAATGCTGCGATGCGCT